AAGAGTAAACCATACATACCAGCATGTCTTTTACGCCCCTCGGCCGACCCTAAGCTTCCTCGCCCTCAATCAACGCGTTATCCCCTTCCCAGTAGCAGAAGTGCAATCCGCTGTTCTCGCGCGCGTATACTCCGGTCGCCTTTCGCTCCCCTCGCACTCAGAAATGCGCGACTGGGAGCAAAGTATCGAGGAGGAAATGGGTGCTGGACGAAACTTCCATCTCTTGCCTTTCCCGAAGGATGCCAACTACATTAATGCAATGAGCAAATGGGCATCGAGCGCCGAGAGCAAGGAGGGGTTGGAAAACAACGGCAGGGGGAAGACACCACCCGTCTGGGGCGAGTGGGAGTATTGGTGTCGCGAGAACTTCCCGAAGATACGGCAGGCGTTTGGAAAGATGGGGGAGAAGAGGAGGGACATTAGAGATGTGAAGGAGCTAGGCTTTGACTTTGAAGAGTACCAGAAAGAACAGGCACAGCAGAAAGATATGGACAAGGAAGGTGAGGAGCTGATATAACAAACAATACAGTAGCTATCGGCAATTCCAACGTCTCGTATCATTCAAAAAGCCTATACAGGCTCTACCACACATCCACATTCCATCAGTTACATCTTGTCTTCTCCCCGCTTCCCAGGCAACCAACCCGCTCACACGGAAGCTCTTCTCGGCATCGAGATCGCAGGAGATGACACCCTCCGCCAATCAATCCCGCTCCTCTTCATTCCTCCAAACTTTTGCTCCCAAGGGCTCACGCTCATCCCCACTTTCTTTCCGTCAGCCCCTCTTAAAACATGCCTAAAACTACCCTCAATATCCGTCTCCCCCATGGTACACAAAATAACCCGAATCCTCTCCCCACCACCTACAAACCACTTAATGACCTCCCGCATAATCTCCTTAATGAATTGCGTTTGAAGCTGCTCAGTCTCTGGCGACTGGGTCGCTGACTCTGGAACGTCTGTATTAATAACGAAAGTATTCAAGTGGGGCAATGTGGCTACGGTAAGGAGGAAATGGTGGACTAGGACGACGACATGGCGCGTGTTGGTGGCGGAGATGTTGGTGTCAGTTAGGTAGAAGTTGGCTTCTAGTTGTTTCAGGTCAGAGTGAGGGTTGGGGACGTAGAACCAGATGTCTAGGGCTGCGTAAGCGTCTAGTAGATCTACGAGGTCTTTGCGGTTCATTGATACGCCCTGTAATTCGTGGACTTCGTGGGCTCCGCGCTTCGTGATTATGTGACCAAATGGGTATTCAGCTAGCAGATCCGAGAGATCGTCTTGATGCGTTGATGGATCTGAAACTTCGGAATTCTCTTGTGTCTGCTTGCTTGGGACAGACATGTTTGGTGAATCTGGGTGGGTTGGCACTGATGTTTTGGGTGTGGAGGTGCGGGTTAGTCGGGAAGTTTAAAAAAAGAAAGAGTCAGCGTTAAGTAGGCTCACGGGCGCGTGTGAATGGGCATGTTATAGTGAGAAATTTGCGATCAGCATATCTAAACAGTGCTATGGTGATGTCTCGTCAACAATGAAATGACCTCTAGGGGCCTACATTACATAGCGTTTTCTCTCAGAACATGTCAACGGACAGCTCAAAGTATCCGCACAACAAACCGACGTTCTGGAATGACCTGGCACAAGAAAAATCGTCGTACCAAACATAAGCAAGACAATTGCTACTCAGGCAGAGGGTCAGAGAATGAAGCAGGTGGAAGTAGTGACATAACATGTGTACCTCAACACAGAGACCCCTCCAGATATGATATCAAACCCGAACGCCGCGGCTATGCATCAAAAAGAGCAAACTGATATCCTCTTAGCTGTGACACTACCTCCGTCCCTTGCCTTGCCCACCTCCACCACCTCCACCCATACCTGGCATGCCGCCCATACCACCCATCATCTTCATCAAGGCGCCCATATCGGGCATACCTCCCCCTCCCATGCCGCCGAGCGCGGATAGATCGGGCATGCCGCCGCCGCCGCCTCCTCCACCCATCATCTTCATCATAGCGCCAATATCTGGCATGCCGCCGCCTGCACCACCTGCGCCGCCACCCATACTTTGCATGCGCTTCTGCATAGCCGCGAGTTGTTGTTGCTTATTGCCTCCACCCATCGCGCCCTGTGCTTTCTGCATGTTAGCCATTCCTCCCTTCATCTTCTTTGCCATACCAGCCATCATGCGGTGTTGTGTAAGCAGTTCCTCGACTTCGCGGACCGAGGTACCAGAGCCGCGGGCGATACGTGTCATACGCGTGGGTTGATCGACAAACATCTTTCCGTCCGACTCCAGCTCTTTCTCAGTCATACTGTCACAGATGTAGATCATGCGCTTCAACTTTGTGCCGCCTTCTTCGTCGTCCATCCCGCCCATCATGCTGCTAAGTCCAGGAATCATGCCTGCCATCTTCGACAAGGGCCCCATCTTCATGATGTTGGAGAGCTGATCCCGCAGGTCCTTGATTGTGAAGATACCCTGGGTGATGTGCTTCATTGTGTCCTTTTGGTCGAGCTTGAGTGATTGTACGTGTTCGACGAGCCCTTGGACGTCTCCCATGCCGAGCAGCTTCGAGACGAAAGCCTGCGGCGCGAACCGCTCGAGGTCTAGCATGTGTTCTCCGTTACCGAGGAAGACGATAGGTGTATGTGTTGCTGCGACGGCGGATATGGCACCACCTCCTGCTGCCGCACCGTCCGTCTTGGTGATGACGATTGCTCCGAAATCTGCGGCCTCCTTGAAAGCGCGTGCTTGCGACTCAGCAGCCTGTCCGATTGTTCCGTCCAACACCATAATGGTCTGATCGGGCGTCACGGCGTTTTGAATCTGTACCATCTCGTCGAAGAGGTCCTTCTCTTGCCTGTGTCGTCCCGAGGTATCCACGATGATGATCTCGAAGCGCTCCTTCTTGAACTTCTCCACACCCTCGCCCGCCACGACTACAGGGTCGGTCTGTGTATGGCTACCGTAGTATGGGATCTTGGCTTTGGTCGCGTTCTGCTTCAATTGATCGAAGGCACCGGCACGGAAAGTGTCGGCGCACACCAAACAGGCCTTGAAGCCTCTTGCCTGGTACCATCTCGCCAGCTTTGTACACGTCGTCGTTTTACCCGCACCCTGCAGACCGACAAACATGATGACGTTGGACTTGCCCTTCTTGGGCTTGAAGGGCTCGGCATGGGGGTCGACCATTTTAACGAGTTCATCGAAGACGGCCTTCTGGATGAGGCGCTTCTTGTTGACGCCCGGCGCGAGGTGCTTGAAGTCGACGGCCTTCTTTATCGATTGGCGCAGGTTCATGACGAGTTTGACGTTGACATCGGCTTCGACGAGGGCGTTGGAGATCTCCTTGACCATGGCTTCGAAGGCCTGCGCATGTTAGCCACCTATCCTCAGTCGCCTGCTCGAGGCGCGCACCTTCTCGTCGAGGTTGGGCGACCTCGTGAGGTCGGTGACGGCGGCATTGATGCGCCGCCCGAGATCCTGAAGCACCATAGCGGCGGTTGGTAGGGAGAGATGATAGTAGGGGTAAGGTTGTGGGTGTTCGGTGGTGTGCCTCTCGTGGTGTTCTGTGGGGAATCCACTATGGCGGGGCGCGCTTGCCGTCGGTCATTTGGGCTACTAACGCCGATCGCCTGGAACTTTTTTCTGCGACGCGATTTACCTGCAGCATTCACATAACCCGACTTTCACAGCCACAATGGTCAACACATCGCTGAAACGGAGACGGACCGAGGAGCAGCTGCGCGGCAAGGTGCCCAAGAAGGAGAAGAGAAAGGTCAAGAAGCAGAAGAACTACCACAGTTCGAGCGAGGAGGAAGGCGGCGCGCGCGATGCTCCATTGCGCGGAAGCAGCCAGGAGCCCGAGGAGCCGTTCCAGCCGTCTGGTGTCAATGCGACGTTACCCGGAAAGCAAGAGCTCTCGAAGCAGCAGCTAAGGAAACAGGCGAAGTTTGAAGCCAAGAAGGCGGCACAGCAAGCAGCAGCAGCAGAGGAGTCTTCAGCCAGCGACAACGAAGAGGAAGTCGAAGCGGCGCCCGCGCAGAAACCTGAGCCCAAGTTCAAGGCCAGCATACCTGCACAGGCCCCAGCAAAGTCGGCACTCAAGAAGACTGCGCCCGTCGACCACGAAGCGCCATTGCCCAGCGACGCCGAAGACGATGTGGACGAATTGGATGACTCTGAGCCTGAGGCGGATGAGTTCTCCATTGCCGACTCCGAATCAGATGCCTCCGAGACCTCAACCACGGCCGCGCGCAAAGTACGGAAACGAAACGACCCCGAAGCCTTCGCCAACTCCATCTCCAAGATTCTTGGTTCGAAGCTGACGACATCGAAACGCTCCGAGCCAATTCTTTCCCGCAGCAAAGACGCCGCCACCGCCAACCGCGAGCTCGCCGACTCGAAACTCAGCGAGAAGGCGCGACGACAGATCGTTGCTGAGCGGAAGGCGGCGCAAGAAAAGGGCCGCGTGAAGGACGTCCTGGGCCTGAACGACCCCAACGTTAGCACCGCTGCCACATCAGCGAAGGAGAAGGAGCTCCGGCGAACTGCACAAAAGGGTGTCATCAAGCTCTTCAACGCCGTACGAGCGGCGCAGGTCAAGGGTGAACAGGCCGAGAGGGAGAGCAAGGCGGGCATGGTCGTCGGCATGGACAAGAGGGAGGAGAAGGTCAAGGAGATGAGCAAGCAGGGTTTCCTCGACATGATCACAGGAGGACAGAAGAAGGAGGGTAGCGTGGAGGCCTGAGGACGATTCTATATGCACAACTCGGCGTTTGGGACAAAAGGGACATAGTCTGGATATGTTCATGATACCATATACTATACATAAGTTCAGTCGTACTCAACGCCAGTTCATCTGCAAGCGGAGTGTTCGTATAATACATGTCGTCTCAAATGCTGTATGCGATATGACCCATAATGCCTTCCAACAGATGTCGTGCAATATCTCCACCAAGATGTCTCCCCCAAGATGACACGACTCTTCTCCCAAGTCTTTTCATTTGCTGTCGAAATCGCTAGCCTGCAAATTCCTCGTCATGCTCGGCAGGCGCACGACCAGTCCATCGAGCTCCTTGCTCATCTTGACCTGACACCCCAGGCGACTCGTCTCGGTAAGTCCAAATGCCAGATCCAACATGTCGTTCTCGTCATCATCCGGCTCCTCCATCTTGTCGTAGTAGGCTTCGTCTTCGACTATGACGTGACATGTTGAGCATGCGCAAGATCCACCGCATGCGCCTTCCATTTCTATGTCGTTGGCTTGTGCGATGTCGAGGAGGTTGTCGCCGTCGGCTACTTCGAATGTGGAGGCATGGCCATCCTTGTCTACAAATGTGACTTTGCGTCTAGAAGGTGTCAGTGGTTGAAGTTGCTACAGTTGGGAAACGTTGTGACGCACTCTTCACCCGGTCGGGGTGGGTCCAGGTGACCGTGGCGGGATGCGGGCGATGAGGAGAATTGGCGGTGACTCTGAAGCCATGAGGGGCTTGTTGCTTTAAGAATAGTCGTTTTTGATAGTGTAGACACTGTCGTTGTCTGTGTCTGAATCGATCTCCGACATGTCGCTGCGGTCCAATTGCTGGCGAACCTCCTCGGACTCGACGATGCGCCTCTTGCGCCCGCTATCCTCCCCTCCAAGGCGTTCACACAAGCTCTTCTAGCAGCCATGACGCCGAATTGATGCTCGTTAGCCGGCCGAGATTGCAGTCTAATAGGAGAAGGAGACACGGAAGCGAAGGGGTTGCAGTGTTTGCCGTGTCACAACGAGTGAATGCGCCGATAATTCCGAATGCTGTGAGACGTCAGAAATGTTGACGCACAGGCCATGCATGACCCCGGTCGATCTACCCAGCGCATCCACCACCGCGGGTAAGAAAACGATAAACATCGCCAGCCTCACGTAATCTTTTCCCCAAAAACGACGGATAGAATGGCGACCTCTCGCGATGCCCCGAACCCCCTACGACCCTACTACATCCCGCCCTCTATTGGCCCGCCGCCCGACGTCCCGCAGAACCAGACGTCCTCGTCATTACCGCCCGCTTTCAAGCCCAGCAACAGTAGCAAATCGAGTCTGGGCAGCCAGGCACGCGACATTCTTTCCGACCTAGACTACGACTCGTACTTCCCAGAAGCCTCGCCTACCGTAGCCGGGCATGCGAAGAAACTGCTCGATCATGCTCTGTGGAACTACACGAGCGTCCTGCTCGCCCAACCATTCGAGGTCGCGAAGACGATCTTGCAGATACACGAGGCAAAGGGACAATTGGCAGGCTTGACGGGTGAGGAGTTTGGCCACAAGAGCAGACCCCAGAGCTTCGCAAGCGGAAAGTTTGAGGATGTATGTATTGGGCACCGGAGGGGCATTTGACATGTGAATGTGGGCTAATCGATACAGTACCCGCCCTCTGATGAGGAGTCTGACGAGGACTCGCCAGGATACTTCACATCTACTGCTCCGCGCATGAACCCTACGTCGCCGTCGCCATATTCGCCGTCTGTCTCACGATCGGGCGTCTCCGAATCGAGGTCTCCACGACGACGCCAGCGACGCCTCGATAGCCGATCCCGGTCACGAACACCCACTCGCCCCCCACCATCCGCCGTACGGAAACTAGATCTCAAGCGTCCAGACTCACTCCTCGAAGTGATAGGACAATTGTGGCAGAAGGAGTCTGCGTGGGGTGTGTGGAAGGGCACCAACTGCACTTTCATCTACAATTTCCTGCTCAAGACGACTGAGGGCTGGTTCAGGAGTCTGATATCAGCTCTGCTGAACATACCAGACCCAGGTCTTGTAGGCTCAGCAGGAAGTGGAATTGGGGGGCTGGATATCCTAGACAGCCCAAGCCCACTGACGTCCCTCGGCGTTGCTGTCGCTGCTACAGCCATCGCAGCCACTCTCCTCGCACCCCTCGACATGGTGCGCACCCGCCTCATCATCACCCCCATCTCATCCTCTCCACGATCTATATACCCATGCCTTTCCCTTCTGCCCTCCTTCTCCGTCGCCCCCAGCCTCCTCCCAGCTACTATAATGCACGCCTGCGTCCCCACTCTCATTTCCTCCTCAACACCGCTCTTCCTCCGTTCAACGCTCAGCATCGACCCTATTCTTACACCGACCACCTACTCCTTCAGCACTTTCCTCTCCTCCATATCCGAGCTCTTCATCCGCCTTCCTCTCGAGACCGTCCTTCGCCGCGGCCAGGTCGCCGCACTCCAGGACCACGAAACCCAGCGCCTGGCGTCTGAGTACCAGGCTCCACCCAGCCGTGCTAAGAGCCCAGCGTATGGTCTGGACAAACCAAGCTCCTCTGACCAGAGCTTCAAGACTATCGTGGAGCCGGGTCAGTACAGGGGTGTGCTGGGCACTATGTGGTTCATCGCTCGCGAGGAAGGCATCAGTGTTTCGACTCCGAATGCTGCTAAGGCAGCGAGTGCAAAGGCAATGGGCTTTTCAAGGCCGCCGCGCACAAGGAAGGGTCAAGGTATGCATGGGTTGTGGCGTGGATGGAGAGTGGGTGTTTGGGGGTTGGTGGGGATTTGGGGCGCTGCTGCTCTTGGAGGTGGCGGCGGTGAGTTCTAGACTGTGATGTTGCAAGTTAAGCACTAGGCACTTGAGCGATGATGTTATTTGGTAGATTATGTTGTTTTGTCACGATGTTCGTATGCGCATGTTGGGCGATGCTATATACACCACTCCTAGCTGATATTGAACGAATATTTTCCGTTCACCCAACTTCTTGTTTCAAGGATTTCCTAAATTCTTGCATTTTATCATCTGATTCGACAAATCTCCCCGCCATGCTATGGCTGTGTAGCCCAACCAGAGAGAATGGTATGCTGGGTTTTATTTTTCTAAAAACTAACGACGGTCTCTGAAAATGGAAAGTTCGACAGCGCACGGCATGCCAACTCACAAAAGCGGGTCGATTGTACCACGTAAATGTCGCAAACGCAATACAAAGCTGTTAAGGATCCTCTCAGAGGAACATGCTACCATCGCGTAGTAGTAAAGCCCAGCACGTAGAGGATTGCCCAGAACCCCGATGGTATTGCTTAGGCAGTCTTAACTAGTCTAGCCTAAGGGAGTCTAGCGGTTCCCTTATGTGGAAGTACCGTACCACCTCACTTCTTATCAGCCACCACCACGTGTTGATTGTGAGCGTCAGCTTCGGTTGGCTCTTCAACTTTGGTTCACCACAGACATCGAATGCAGTGAAAATTCCGACACGTAGACCCCCATCATTCATACACACATCGAAGCTATCGCAATCATAGCGTATACCAAAGTACCATCTGAATGACCTGCCCGAAGGACCAGACCGCAGTCTGAGTCAAAGGCGCACTCGATTCATCATTCATACATACACGCCTGGGAAAATCCACCAACATGTCAAATCCCTCCTCGCTTTCAATCCACCCAGCCGACAATGATGAACTCTCAACTTTGATCTCACAGGTAAACTTGAGCGGCAATACAGTCAGAGTCGCACATAGCGCCGCTGTCACAGAGGTGAGGTTTTTGGAAAGAAATCTACCGATTCGCCCCATGAGTATTCAGTCAGCAAGTTGCTTGCTCTCACTGCCCTCGTAAATACGCCTGTTGATATGCCATCATATGCATATCTCGCCCGAGCTTGGTATCGACTTCATTGAGGGATTCTTCAGCTGTAGGCAGCTGCAGAAGAATATGTTGGACGAACTTAGTCCTGCCTTCGATCTCGACAACTACGTCAACGAGCATGCAGAACCCTGTCGCCACGAGCCAAGCATGTTTGTCTGTGTGGTATCATCCACGCCTCGATTTCACATCTCACGGCGTGTGACAGTATTTGCACGAGTACCGCGCGCTGATCGAGGATCCCGCTGTTGCTATAACTCAGTCGCTGGGCTTTTCCCTCTACATCTGAACGAACTCAATGTGAGACTAGCTCCTCACAACCATGCAGATGACTACGACCAAGAGCTTCTTTACGGCGACATGAAGTCAAGGCCGAATCGCCTTTTCCTTGATTATGTAGTGGAAGGCAAAGTGAACTCCAAAAACATGAAGTTCAGCCTTCCTGGTCTACAGAAACAGGATGATGGAAGAGACAAGACAACGCGCCCCGAAAATATCATCATACCAGGCACAGAAATCTTGTACGGCATGCATATTACGGAGGATAAGGCGGGTGCCCAGACTGAGAGAACATCCCTGAGTGACGTGCGGTTCCGCCCAACGACAGAGGGATCAGGGGGCGCAGTGGCCACGCGCTGAACGGCATGGATTCCAGGAGTTCCATCAATGGGAATATCGGACACAACGAAAGCGAGGCGCTCGCGTTCGGCTCACTACCCGAGCGTGCTGGTCGAACCCGAGGAAAAGAGACCCAGCCAAACGGAGTGTTTCCTTGCAAATTGACATGAACTGGGTTACATGTCACAGCTAGCTGTTCCTTGAACAGCCCCACTCCGTTCCCTTCTCTTCCCAGATGAAACGCTTTGCAGTGAAATTTTCTGCCTTATCGCGTATCTAACGTATCCAATGCTCATGCACCGCAGATTGTGTACCACACCTGGGCAACACAAGGAAACGCTATCCGGACGTTGCAATCAAATTTCCGGCTTGTCACGCCACAAGAGACTCTGACAGTTCTCACAGAATCTCACATACCTTGGCACTTGTCAGCGGGTCTATCGCGGTCACTCTCTGAACGATCTGATATCGTTTGCGCGCAACTCCCGACGTCCATGTTCCGCTCCACTAGCGGGTCCGACATGGTGGCAACGACGGCGGTCGCGCAAACTTTCCACACGGCATGCTAGGCGTCGGTATCGGGTGGAGCTGGTGTTGACAGACAGCGGCCCGTACGTTACGAAGTATAACCACCGGCACTCAACTCCTGGTCCGTGCACGCAACCACCGAATCACAGCCATGGAATTCCTCTTTCTAACACTTTTCTGGACGAAATGGGCGTCAAGTGTTTCTAAACGAAACGGCGCTACGCCTGTCAAGCATTCCACACAGGAGACCAGTGTTTCGCCACATCGCGGACTGCAATGAAGTGTCAGTAAACGACCTTGGCAGGACCCGTAGAAATCACATCCGCATTGACTTTACTTTCCGAACCAGCAGCTTCCGTGCCTCCTTTCAATGAGTCGCATGTTTTCACAAGCGCTGCTATGCTTAGAACGGCCTAAGGATCACGGTCATGTCCACTTCCCAAGCGATCCAGAACACCCACAATCACGGAAGGAAGACTGTAGTTGTCGATGAAACCTGCATCCTATCTCCTGGAATACCTACAACGGGAAATTGACGTCCGTTGGAACCAGGTCACCGGTGTCTAGGCGCCTGGCTTGCATGAAGATGTTTGGTACAATGCGTGGAGGACTTTTGATATAAGAACCAGGACGACCGTCCAACATCTACAACTCACCAGCAAGCAATACATTCGTTTCAATCGCTTTCTACACTCGCTTTTCAGCACTTTACATTCGTTCCTTCACTTCTTTTTACCAATTACTACACAAGTTTCATTACTGCTAGCCAGAATGAAGTTCTCCGCCTC